CCCCCCCAGCCAGAAGACCTACGTGATGCCTTGAGAGAACACGAAAATGTCACGTGATGTCCTCTTTTAGAGAAATTTGAATTATTAGATAACCGGTAGAAAACATTGCTGCCGTTTTACATTTCGCCATACTCTGGTCAGTTCATGTCTGGATGTTGTCCGGCCAGCTTGCTTTTTGACCACCTCTGTTCCCGTGGCCACATCCTTCCTTCAATTTATTTTTCGCATTAATAATCGTACAGGGTGATTGGCCGGTGCCCTGGTGTGGTTTGCTCCTTCTTTCCGATCAAACAACTATCGTCTTTATCACTAATCCTTCTCTCTTTTATGCTTGTTGCTCTCTTGTAATACCTCTAATCTTCTGCACTTATATGACTTAATTTCGTTGCAAGTACCGTAAAACTCTTACTAAAACATAATCGCTATAGGCGTCGTCTTCCATAATTACGCCCGTAGTGCGCACTCATGTCTAAAGTTGTCAATCTTATGTGATAGATTCAAGATTCGCATGACTGTATCTTTTAATGAATTAGACAGCGTGACCTTTTGCTGCTGAGTTCACCATCCTGTTACGCCGTGTGGCCATGATGTGGAAAAAGGTCACGACACGGAACTGACGTCACAAGACAAACAATTAAGTAGAGAAGCTGCAGACGTTTACATCTGCAGATTAACAGGACACGAGACTGTCCCTGTTGACGAAATGTTGGCTGGATAAAACAGTTGACGCTTACAGAACGTAAGTGCTGTGCCTACACTTGTCTTCCGCACGACTTGGCTATCCTTTTTTCCCCCTTATTTCATATGACAGGACGGCGCAGACAACGTAGTGCGCGGAGAGACGGAGTACCTTTTTACGACAAGTCAGCACGACATCGGCCGCAGAAGAATCTAATTTACTAGCAACAGAGTAGGAATTAAGCTACGATGTAAAGAAAGAAAGAAAAAGACCACGACGCCTCTTCTATCCTCGCTCAGTCCTGCACTTAACGCTGCAAATTGTAACACATTTAGTTGGCCACGCTGATGACTTTTGAAGCTGGGAATAAATACTGCTTACTTGCTTGTTCTCCGTAAAAGAAATTTACAATAGTCGAGAAAAACTACTACTACTACTACTACTACTACTACTACTACTACTACTACTACTACTACTACTACTACTACTACTACTACTACTACTACT